TCCCTTCCTTCCCTGCCTTCTTTCCTCCCTCCCTCCCTTCCCTCCCTCCCTTCCCTTCCTTCTTTCCTTCCTTCCTTCCTTCCTTCCTTCCTTCCTTACTTACTTACTTACTTCCTTCCTTCCTTCCTTCATGTACTTCCAGAGAACCGTCCAGAGAAGCATACAACAAGGGAGAAAACGACAGACAACTTAGTCATTGCTTCATTCTTCCTTCCTCCCTCCTTCCTTCCTTTCTTATAATTTTCTCCCTTCCTTCTCTTCCTTCTTTCCTTCCTTCTTGGCTTCCTTCCTCCCTCCCTCCCTCCTTTCCTTCCTTCGTTCCTTCCTTCTGGTCTTCCTACCTTCCTTCCTTCATCTCTTCCTTCCTTACTGAGTCTTTCTACCTCTCTCCCTTACGCTTTCTATCTTCCTTTTCTCTTCCTCTTCCTCCGTTCCCTCTCTTCCTTCCTTCCTTCTCTTCCCTCCTCCCCTCCTCCCTCCCTTCACTTCCTTCTTCCCTCCCCTCTCCCCTACCTTCCTACCTTATCTCCGTCCTTTCTTTCTTTTTCTTCCTCTTCCTTGGTTCCCTCCTTCGTCCTATGCTCCCTTCCTCCCCTCCTTTTCCCCCCTCCTCCCACCCTGCTTTCCCTACTCGCCTCCTTCTCTCCCTCCCTCTCCGCCTTCCCTCCTTTCCCTTCCTAACTTCTTTCACTGCCTCTCCAAACCTCCTCCTCCTCTCCTCCCTCCCCCTCCCTCTCCCTTTTCCTCCCTCGTCCTCCCTCCCTTCCTCCCCTCCCTTCCTCCCCTCCCTTCTTTCTCCACCCCTCCCTGTCTCCCTTCCCTCCCTCTCTCCCCTCACTTCTTTCCTCCCTCCTCCTCCCTGCCTTCCCTTCCCAACCCTTCCCTCCCTCTCTCCCCTCACTTATTTCCTCCCTCCTCCCTGCCTTCCCTTCCCTCCCTCCTATCCCTTCTTTCCTCTCTCCCTCCCTTCTCCTCCCTCCCTCCTTCCCCGCTCCCTCCCTCTGTGCATTCCTGTCTCCCTCCTCTCCTCTCCCATCCTCCCTTGCGTCCTTCATTCCTTCCTTCGTTCCCCACCTCCATTCCCTCCCTTCTCTTCCGTTCCCTTTCCCTTCCTCCGCTTTCTCTTCCTCTCTCTTCCTTTCCCTTTTGTTTATTTAGTTGATGTACATAAATGCTCCACACCGTCCACAGACAAACATATATTTCCAAGGAGGAGGTTGCCGTGTCATACCATAGATGGCTCCATTTGGAAAGTAGAACTTTCCTGTCTGTATCGTTGGTTGAACAACTGCACGAGGGAGGAGTGAGCAGAGGTGCAAGAGCACAAGAAAAAAGGCCATGCCTCAAGAGTTACTATGCAAACATACAAAGTATGTCAGATTTGGTGCAATTCAAGGACAAGCAACAAAGATTTCAAACTTCAAGAATTAACTGCAAGCACTTAATCAGTACGTTTACTATGTCAACATCAGGGGATCCAAACTCACGTACAGCATACTCCAGCTAAAAACTTCGTCATCCATTTGCTTCTCTCTTTTCCTGTGTCTTTTTTTCCCTCTTCTCTCACACGGTCTTTTTGTTTGTTTTTCATGCATTGTTTGCCAACAGGATGTATGCTCTCTCTCTCTCTCTCTCTCTCTCTCTCTCTCTCTCTCTCTCTCTCTCTCTCTCTCTCTCTCTCTCTCTCTCTCTCTCTC